CTCTCTCTCTCTCTCTCTCTCTCTCTCTCTCTCTCTCTCTCTCTCTCTCTTTGTCTCTTACCTGGGAGCTTGCTGGAGCCCATGTGGGGTGGACATGACTCCCAACAGCCAGTCACGTTGCCCACTGCTGCCACCCCCCAGGCAGCCAGCAGAAAACCTGGATATTTGCTCTTATTTTAAAAACCCATCTGGACACAGTACAGGGAGTCAAAAAAGAGGGCATGTCTGGAAAAACCTGGATGCATGGTAACCCTAGGTCACATGCCTGTCAGGTCCTGTGACCCCAGAGCAGTGGAATTCAGCACGAGTCACAGAAGCAGCTCCTTAGAGGGTGGGGAAGCACATCACTGTGAGATGCTGGAAGGTTTACTGAGTTCATACTGCACTTCATATAGCCTCCACTTGTGCCACTGTCAGAGACAAACTACTAGGCTAGATGGACCATTGTTTTGACTCTGTGTGGCTCTTATGTTCTTAAGGGGTAACTAGGCATAACTGAGGGCCCCTGCTTAGGACATTTTCTCTACCCTTTTTGAGCTACACTTGCAGTGACATTAGATGAAGTTCTGAGATGGTTCCCATATCTGTGAGCTGTATTAGAGCAACAATCAACTAGAAAAATGGAGGACAATGCTGTTGCTAGCAGTCAGCACCCATTCTGGGCCATTCTTCCTAACAATGGAACCTTACCACTTGCAGAAACTGAAAATTCCTGATTTTTTTTTTGAAGTTTCACAAGCTTTATTTAGTTCTTTATTACAGATATTATGGCTTTCATAAATGCTGATTGTCTGCCAATTTTTTTTTAAGTATAACTTTTATTTTTATTTTTAAAGTGTGTGTGTGTGAGAGAGAATGTGTACTTGCACATGTACAGTGATGGCAAACAAATTGTCATAAACCCCACCAAATGTGGGGAGCTTTTGGAGTGTCATGCAGATTTTCTTGAATTTGTTTCACTGATATAGTATGTGTGGTCTTGTTGAAAAGCCCTTGTTCTGCTGAATCAATTTATGCTGTTTTTGGCACTGTGTAGATAGTTATGTTGTCTATATATACCTTTATGATTTTAGACATGGTTTAGTCAAAGAAAGTAAGGGATGCATACTTAAGGAAAAGGTAATAGATTAAACTGCTAAGTATCTCTTGCCATTGTGTTTTAGGGCAAGGACAATTGGCACTCCCAGTTGCAGACAGAAGGTGCCACTGGTGGGATGGGCATCCAAGTTATTG